CTATATCCGGGCTGCTCAGCAACGCGTGCTGCAGGAAATTGTCGCCTAGGCGTATCGAGTCCATTGACAATCCGCCGATCCTCGGTCGATATCCACCCACGGCTCTCGCGGGTGGTGCGCGTGGTCTGTATTTAGCTTGGTTCCGTCCCCGTCTCAGCGAAACGCCCTCTCCTGTATCAAGCAAGCACAACTCCCTCTTCCAGTCACAATGAAGGTTTGTATGGCAGCTTGTGACAGTGCGCTCATCGCTACCAGCCCGCGAAAAGGGCAGTAACCCAAATATTTATTATGTCAAGGTGTTCGGGTACGAGGGACTTGATTCTTCCAATAACCAGACCCGCCACACTTGTAGCACCGGATCGTTCTAGCGTACCTCCGTGTTTCCGTCTTCATGGATGCTGTAGCGGATAACGCGAGCAAATACCAGTTCAAAGNAATATAACGGATTTCAGTTGTAAATTGAGATATATATGCAACCTGCCGGCTCTCTGGGGGAGAACGTCGATCGGACGTACTTTGGACAGCGAAGATCAATGGTTTATGGCCGTCAAAACTGAGAAATATCGACCCTCTAAAAGATGCCGCAAATGGCGTATTGCCAAGTATATAGCTCATAATTCTCACCCAAACGTGCTGTAAGAGAATGAGAGAGGTTGAAATTCTGCATCTTTCATTGTCTGAAGGAGTGCACCGACTGCTTCTTGCGAGGCATCTGTGGCTAGGTACAACTTGGTGTGTGGATCGGATGGAATGTAATGCAAGAGCGTTGAGTGAGTCAAGCAGGATTTCAGTCGGTCGAATGCTAGGAGAGCTTGTTCGTTAAGAACTAACTTGCGAGTACCCTTTTGAAGTAAATCAGTGAGAAGTTGAGCACTTTGAGCGCACTCGAGGATGAATCGACGGTAGTAATTGACTAAACCCAGAAAACGACGCAGTTGTCTTACGGAAGTTGGGGCGGAGTAGTCAGCCAACCTGTTTACTTTTGAGGGTTGTGTTCTGATTCCTTTATGGTCAATGATGTGACCAAGCACTTCGAGGGAATGTACACCGAATTCACATTTCTCAACTTGGAGAATGATACCATGTTGTCGAAAACGTTCAAAGACGGCTTTCAAATGGTGCATATGTTCAGTGTGTGAACTGCCGGCAATGAGAACATCATCTACGCAGGCGCAAGCGAAATATAACCCACGTAAGACTTGGTCAATGAATCGTTGGAAGGTCTGGGCAGCATTGCGTAAACCAAAGTGCATTCGGAGGAATTCGAATAGGCCGAGAGGAAAGGTGATTGTCGTTTTCGGTATACAATGAATCGAAGGTCTGGGCAGCATTGCGTAAACCAAAGTGCATTCGGAGGAATTCGAATAGGCCGAGAGGAAAGGTGATTGTCGTTTTTTTTCTATCGTCAGTGGCTATTGGTATCTGGTTATGAGCACGGACAAGGTCGAGTTTCGAGAAAAGAGTCTTCCCGTCCAGGTCGAAGCGAAATCATGCATTTGGGGTACAGGGTACTTGACTGAAACGGTGGTCTTGTTAATCGCCCGATAGTCTCCACAAGGTCGCCAATCGCCACTGGTCTTCTCTACCATGTGAAGTGGTGATGCCCAAGATGGACGTATAATGCACAACTCGAACATGTGCTCAAACTCACGTTTGGCTGTAGCAAGCTTATCTGGTGCTAAACGACGAGGACTCAGTGACACAGGGTTTCCGGTGGTGAGAATCTTGTGTGTGACCCCGTGATGCAGCTGCGTTGGAAACACTGAAGGTTGGAATAAGTCTTTGTATTCCTTAATCAGGTCAGCGTATGGGTCAGCTAAATCGGGGGTGAGGACCTTGATTGCAGGAGGCGTTGAACAGCACTGGATTCCAGTGATGCTCAAATTGGTTGCTTGGTCCACCAGTCTGCGACCTTTCACGTCTACTAGAAGCCCAAAGTGTGTGAGAAAATCA